TTATTACTGTGTCACACTAGTTACAGTAAGGCTATTTGTACTGTAGAAGACAAACATTTTAAAAAATAAGTATAAAAACTTAAAGCATTGTCCCCATGTTTTTATAAAAACAAAATCAACGTTTCTTACATTTAAAATGAGTGCTGAAAGATACAAATGAATAAAGTTATTGAGCAAATAAAAACGTAAATCTGAGCTACTTTTTTTTTCATACAAATAAGGCTCAGCCACATTGTATCTCTCGTATTAACAGCATTGGGTTTTTTAAACTCAGCTAACGAGTTTTGGCAACACTGTTCTTTGCTGAATATTCCCATTGGCATCTGTCATCTGTGCCAAATTAGTCCTCAGTTTTGAAGCTGAGCTTGAAGCCGGAGGTAACTTGGAAATCGACGTTATAGCACCAGTGCTCTCTGTAATTCTCTTTGCTGAGGCCTTCTCCCCAGTCGGAGGCTTCGGCAACCGTCGCCTTAGCCAGGGATGTCGCAAAGCCTGGCTGGGTGTCATTCGGATAGCAGGATCCCATTCTAAACACTGTTTTAAAAAGTCAAGGAACAGGGGATCATCACACCCCTTTAATGCGTTACCCCATTCTCTGCTCTCTGGTGGGCCACGTAATTTTCCCCTCCGAGAGCGTCCACCGTTCAGTATTATAGAGCCATCAGACAAGGTTGTGATGGTGCAGTAGCGGGGATAACCCTTAGAGCTCACAAAGTTTTTAGCTCGCTTGGATGAATCTAAAAGTTTTGGGGAAGGCATGCCCAACAGCTCAATCATACAAGCCAGCTGGTCTCCTTCATCTTCTCCGGGTAGAAGTGGATAGCCAGTGAGAAGCTCTGCTAGAATACACCCCAAGCTCCACATATCGATGGGCATCCCGTAACGAGCACCAAGGATGACTTCAGGAGCACGATAAAAGCGTGACTGAATGTAAGTGTAGACACGCTGATGCTCATAACAACTTGAGCCAAAATCGATCACTTTGATTCCACTTCGGCCCTGTTGCTTCAACAGAATGTTCTCAGGTTTAAGGTCACAGTGAATAATTCTGTTCTTGTGCAAAGCATCCAAGCACTGTAAAATGGAGTGGGCAAACTTGCGGACCAAAGGCAGGCTGAAGCCCTGAAACTTGTTCTTCTTTATTAATTCATATAGGTTCATGCTCAGCAATTCAAATGTCATGCAGATATGGCTGCGGAATGTGAAGTTTTCCAACATGTGAATAACATTCATGTTGTTATCCTTATCTTGTTTCCGGAGATGCTCCAGAATCCTAATTTCTTCCGCAGCTTGGCGGTGGAAACGCTTTTCATTTCTCACCATTTTTAGTGCCACGTGTTGATGCATCTTGTGATCGTAGGCTTTCACCACCTGCCCAAAGCTTCCTTTCCCTATAACTTTCAGGACTTCATATCTGTATGCAATATGATCATGGGGTACTTGTATGTACGACCCCTGGTCATCATCGTATCCGCAATTGTTTGGACCACCAATCACACCTTGCCGCTTCTTTGCATTTGGACCCAGAAAGTATATTTCAGTGTAGCCAAAAATCTCATTATGTTCAAAAGTTGTTAGTTTTTGCATGTATTGCTTCATTGCCTGCTCTGGTGTCATAACAGAGGCTTTCACCTTCCCTGTTCCATCTGTAGATTTTAAAGAGCTGGAGCTCCCTTGTCGTCTGTGAGCACTCTCTGACTGTCTGTCCTGAACCATTGGCAATCCAGATTTGCCTAGCGTTGTAAGTCCATTCGGCTGTGTTGTCAGAACCGTCCTCTTGTTACTATTATCTTCAAACAGTTGTTGAACCTGGATTTGTCCATGGCTACCAACATGGAGGTGCTCATTCATCGTGTGCTTACTGCCTCCAACCTAAAATTGAAAATAAATACACACCCAGTTAACAATAAAGGCATGAATCTTGCTTCATATTTATTATGCAACCCACCATCCTGCCTAAACTATCTAAAAACTAAGTGTATTATTAGAAGTCAGTTGTCTACACAATTTAAAAATACAGTTTTTATACTACAATGCTGCTAGATGCCATTACATTTTTCAAATCCTTGTTTCTCAAATGTCTCTTTCCTGACTGTCTGAAACAATTGCAACAAGAGAGTCCATGGTGTGTTACTCTGATAAGTTAGCAATTCCTCCAAGGAATCTTCAAAACAACAGTCCTGTTACGTCAAGCAGTATGCTCAGGGGATATTAAATTGGATCTTCACAGTATCACTTTTATTTATGCTGGATATGGATATATAATATCTTCTAAAGTTTACTTAACTAAGGCTCTCCTTGTCACCTGTTCTCAGAAATCAAGATTGTAACGTGTTCCAATTTGCTGAATAAAACTGCAAATAAAATTTTAAGCAACAAGGAATGTGCTGTGACATGCATGAGGAGGAAAAGAACCTAGACATTTCCAAAGTTCAAGAGATGCCATTCACTGCTAGCAACTGAGACAGTCACTATTTGGCAAAGCATTCAAATCAGTGAAGTGTAAATATATCCTCCAGCACTTTGCCAAGCCAGTCTTGTAATGGCTTTTAACCAAGATGAGATCTGGGACCAGATACAGACTTGAATGGAACAAAAATCTTTGCCTTGAAGATCATGCACACAACTTTATTTTGAAGGGATGGAAAGAGTATTAGTTGACAGCTGTTCTTGACAGTTTTCACAAGGGAGAAAAAGCATTCAGCATTTTCAAGCAAAGGAACACTGGAAGTACTGGGGTGTGAAAACAGCTATTGCATGAAACCTGTTACTTTTAAGAAATTTACAAGCATATATCTGCCACTAAAATAGCTGTCCTTAAAATTCTTCATTTGCTCTCAAGTAGAGGATAATCTGTCTGTCTTTTCTGCTGGTCTTATACAAACGTGGGAAGAATTTCCCTGCTTTCTCTCCAACTGATTCACCAGCCTTAATATTTATGCCAAATTACTAACCCAAAGTTCACAAATACTCTCAGACAGATGATCAAGCCAGGGTTAAGAGCACATTTAATCTGAACCTTATTTTTTCTATGTAGCTAAGGAAAACACATTCCATGTTCACTTACGGTTGCTGAAATTAAATCAGAAAATGACAGTTGTATGCTGTGATGAGGCAATGAAATCTGTGCTGCAACTGCAGACACACATCCTAATGAAAAAGCCAGGACAGACAGTGCAGACTCTAGCACGTTTTTTGCTTCTGTTACGGTATCACTCTGTCATGGCAAAAATGTGCTTTTGTAAACCCAGTAACTCTCTCCCAAGGAACAGCCAGCTGGACACCAGCTTCACCTTTGAATAATATTTTGAAATTAGCAGCTTTGAAGCTCACGCAATGTAACAACAAGAGCTCTCAGGACTGTTTCTGCTGAGCTCACTGTTCTTCTGTTTCCATTTTGACTCATGTTGAATAACTGGTCCATTTTATTTCATCACTGCAGTCAGATTGCATATGTTTATTTGCAGAGCAATTTCTGCTCACGCTCTCAAATTTGATTGATCTCATAGAAAGCGTTACCTCACAATGACAATTCAGAGCAAAGGCACTTATAACATTCAAGCACAGTGAAAGTATATGAGGATGCTGACATTAATCGCTTTCCTGATTTGATGTCCCAAAGCACAGGGAATTAAATCATCAGGGGGACTTAACGAGCCTGTCATGCCTACAGGGAATTCCTTCAGGTCAAGTTTGAAGTGCACTCCTGCAGCAGCCTCCTGAAGGTTGTCCTGACCCTACATATGCAGCAGTGACTGAACAGAAGAGAATTCAGTCCCAAGAACAGCTACACAACGTACCTCAAAGAGCTATATCTAGTTGGTAAGATGTGTATAGAGGCTCGGCCATGTAGGATTGCAGAACTGTGCTAAGTGAGAAATGCACAATGAAGCAGCAGAGCAACGCTACGGATTACAAGTACCTAAGCCAGGAAAATCTATGTACAAACATTTATTCTGCAGCAAAGCAGACAAACTGTGAGTAGACAATACTAACGTACAGGAAGAAACAGCAGAAAGGAGAAAACTGCTTTTAAGAATTTCTTAACTCAAGTGCTCATTGACACACTTCACATACTGAATTAATTCTTTTTCACTTGAGTCACCTGTTTTCACAGTAACCTGTCTTCTGCCTTTCCTAAGCACTGCACGTTTCAATAGATGTACTGCAGGATTCTGCAAACTTCAATTATTTGCTTTGTATGAAGATTTTGAAAAATACGAAAAAAAAAAAAGTGTGCGCACTCTTAGCTGCTGTGAAAGTCTGTTGTTGTTCTTCTCCAAAAACTATGTTTGCAAACACATTTTTCAAGTGTAAACTGTGTACCTCTGCTTCCTTACCTTCAGGCAGCCTCAGTTTCTCTTTCTACTCAGGCATTTATTTATTTATTTATTTCTTCCAAGCAGCAGAATGAAATCACCAGCATTACCCAGCTTCACCTCAAAGTGACCGGTTTGGCCAGTTTCAGTCAGCTGCTGCTTGGGAATGCAAATGCAGATGCAGACAGTAGCGCTGGTTTTCTTTGTAGATGAAAAAACACTAAATTAGTGCAGGCTCTATTCCAAAACTTGCGGGGGAGATCAGAGCTCACTCTTCTTTCAAAACCCCCACAGGAGTTTCAGAGGTTTCAGATGCATCACAGCAACAAATTCAACATGAAAAAGTGGACCACCGTATCTCAGGGTCCTGCGGCTGAGGAATCACCACCTTATCTTCTGTTTCCTATCTGGACGAGCAGGGGGTTGGATTCTCTCCAGACCTTTGCTCTGCAAATCTACTTCTACCTACCGGCTGTCCAAGATTGCTGTCAAGTTCAGACTTGCACTGTTACAGCTCCACAGGCTTTACCGTTGACGCTGTAAGTTCTCTGAACCACAGCTAATGGGCTTGGGAAAGCTACAGAGGGCTAAAGCCTTCCTAGTCCCATATCGAACTGCCCACGGTACACAGAACTGCCCACGGTACACAAAGCCAGAAGCCCAAGAGGTTTATGATGTGTCTCCCTTCTGCTGATGCACATGGCCTGTAAATTCTAGAACCAGCAACCTGCATGCACTTACACATTGTACTTACTACCATATTTTATTGCCTGTGCTCAGATCAGTCTATGCCTTCTAAGATTTACGTATTTTTATAGCACTCATCTTCAAAAACCTATTGATGCACATATACTTCCAAATAGAATGTACTGAAATACCAGGTAAGCTTGAATTCAAAGAACTAATCCTGAATCGTCTGGCAACATCGAGTGCAAAACAGAGATGTTACAATGCTTTTTTTTTTTCCTCCCTAGAGTGTTTCATAAATGGTTTTGAAGATATATGATTTTGCTTTAACTTTAGTTAGCTCAGTTTATGGAAGTAGATGGTTTGCCAGAAACATTCACCTAGTTTTAAAATACAGAGAGACACCAGCAAAAACAAGCAGAAATATTTATTTTTTCTTTTTCCTTTTTTTTTTCCCCCCAGAAGTGAACTTAAAGACAGAAGTGGTCTACAGTACCATGTCTAGATTACAAAGTCATTACAACATAGTGGTAGCATAAAACTGACTCCATCCTTCTAACAAAGAAGGTAAACTGACAACTCCCCTGTGGTACCACTCAGCCAATGCAATGGTCTATCTCAAAGCCTTCTACAAGAACTACAGTCACTACAGGACCCAACACCATGACAGCAGTGGTCTTTGCAGTACTTGTAGATATGCCAGTTTCACCTCACTGTATCTAACATGCTAGAGGTATACAGTGTCAGGTGTAGCACGCTTCGTTGCTTATTCTGTTGACTAGAGCCCGAGTAAATGTGAACAAAAGGCCCTTTTTCCTTGATAAATGAATTCAACAGCATTCCTCTGTTCAGAACTAAAAATAGCTGCTAATTAGCACAATAACAATCATGAAGGATTATCATAATGGCTTTATTATGAGTTTGGGTTTTGTACAGCAAGGAAGACTAAGCCCTTGTCCTAAAGAGCTTGTGCTCAACAAGAGCTATAGAAAAACAAACCATATGGATATTTTGCTGCTGTCACACACAGACAATATAAGCTTATTTTTCAAAAGTTAACCTTGGCTTTATATTGCAAATATATTCAGAGACAGAACTATGTTTGAAGATTGATACTGATTGATAAATTCTTTTCCTCCTGTCTGGGCTATGTTGGGCATGTGCAGTGAGCCCAAATACTTCTGGGACACTCCCATGTTTCATGCACACTGAGCTCAAGGATAGTCAGCACGCATTAAACCGAACCTTCAGGTACACTGATGTGTACAAGAGATGTGGCCACACGTACTGCAGTCACCCTAGGAAAGTCAGCTGCATATTCCCCCTCCATAAAAGTTTTATGAAGAAGAAACACACAAAGAAACGTAGATACAGCAAAGTCCAGGCCAGGACTACATACTTACTTCCGCTCAAACATGACAGCATTTCTGTGTCAGCTTATTACATGGGAACAGAACATTGGGCAGATATTTTCTTTCTTACGTGCTTTAAAGCAGCCGTATACAATAAAAACATGGAGCAGATCTATGGGTAACAGGGTGTGGGAATCTCCATTGCATTATCAAGTAATTCGATTATTATTTAATTTTAAGATTAAGACTAAATGATGCAAAAGTATATGAGTGGATACTCATCCTTGGTGGCAAAAGAAAACAGCCCTGGCTGCAGGAAAATCTTGGAAAGGCCTTGAAGAAAGAGTGCACTGAATCAGGCACTGTAAATGGGCTGTTGTTACAGCCCTAGACAGGAGGAGAAAAAAATTAAGACGGCTTTATTACAAGGGAAACAGGAAGAGTGCAGAACGCAGGGATATGTGCCAAATAAGAAAGAACAGAGATGGAGGTAGGCAGGAGACAAAAGTCTGGGAGAGAGACTCACAGACGGGTGGGGATTTACACAAGCAGAGCAGCAGGCAAGCAAGATAAATCTCTACTGCAGTATGTCAAGTGGCTGCAAGAACACTGTAATGAAACAAGAAAGAGCGAACAGGAAAAGGTTCCAGTCATCAAAGCAAAAACTTAAGGCTTCAAAAGAGAAAGCAATGACTTGGAAAGGAAAACGAGAAGGACAAGAGGTTGGAAAAGAGTTCACATTTTCCATCACAAGCATCCAAAAAGATAAAGTCAAAGATGGAAACAGACAAGAAAAAGCCTAGGATGAAGCCACGGATTTTTGAAAACAAACAAAACCTTTCCCTGGTACAATACACAATAGTCTGCTTAGCAACAAAGGTTGCTGTGATTGCAAAGACTGCAGCCAAAACGTCTGCCCCGTTACATGAAGCCTGTGTAAGACAGCATCTCCCTGCTTCTCCCTCCATGTTCCCCATGCTCCTGCATTCTGCCAAACAACTCGGCTGCACTAAAGAGCAGGAATCAGTAGTTTTGCTAGAGGCAGGATTATACAGCTGCTGCAAGAAATATGACAAGTAGTGGACTTCTCCATCTGAACTAGAAAAAAACTGCTTGGCTTAACCAAAAATTTCTCTTCCACCACAGTATCCCTTCACAATTAGTGTACACACAACTCACACGTGTGCAGGCAGCCACGGGCAACTTAACCACCTAAGTAAACTATGCCTTCTGAAAGTCTGCAACACCAAAGAGAAATATTCATTTTGTATTTTAGCTATTGGAGAAGTTGCAAAGAAACAACAGGGTTGAAAACAGATTAAGTAAATGAATACAGGGGAAGAAAATGGTTTAAGAAAACTGAAATGTTTATTTTTAAATACGTTTCATTTGAGGAAGTAGTGGGTGAAACCAATAGTTTCAGTCAGTGTCAGCTGAGGTCAGCAGGCCTGAAGTTTATAGAACGCTCCCATACCATATATAACCATTGTTTTAGGTTAAAATCCAGCATTCTGATGTCACATCTAATCCTTACCACAAAGAGTTATGTTAGGCAACCACAAAATAATAACCTACAAAATTCAGTGAGCCAGTCCGAGGTATTTCTGTAATAGCACTCAAGGTAAAATAAAGATTGAGGAGTAGAATCTGTGTCACAAAGGCACAGCAGAGTCTGCAGCAATCAGTACCCAGAGGGACTTGAATCTCAGAATCACAGAATGGCCAGGGTTGGAAGGGACCTCACGGATCATGAACTTCCAACCCCCTGCCACAAGCAGGGCCACCAACCTCCCCATTTAATACTAGTCCAAAACACAGCGGTATAATGAAATTATAATTGAAACACAGTGGTATAATGCTTGCTCATCTTTCTATGCTTCCATAAGTATTTTGGCTATATGTATATATCTATCCACAGGCACATATATGCTATATATAACATATGCATACATACATGATGACACATTTATAAAAATACTGGAAACAGAAATGCAATACTAAAATATTCCTTGCACGCTTTCATAAAGACTTCATCTTTATACATGTACATATATATAGTGTATGTAGATAGATATATAATACACACACAAACGTATCTATAAAAATACCATGGTTCTGTGCTTCCAAAATTAGTCAGCAGTCCCAGATAGACGACTGGATTGCTGGGCTTTCACAGATTCTAAATTAAGTCTGGGCTCTGTTACACATCAGCCCCTGCCATTAGTGGAGCCCATCTGAATGAGCATTTCTACAATCCATGCCCAGGCCCTAGGTAAAATGATTATTTTCTAGCTTAAAAGAAAAAGTAGACCACTTTCTCACTTCTCAAATCAACCAGCACTTAACTGGAGTGCAAATGTGCAAAAACCTACCTATGGCAGTAATGAACAATTCAGATATATATCCTAGCTACATAAAGACACAGCGATGTTGACCTCAAGTATGCAGCTCCACCTTAAATTTGCAGAATATTCATCATTCCTCTTGAAAACACCCTACATAGACTTGCATTTTTTTTTTTCTAATTTAAGCCAATTCTTTCTGTAACTGGATTTGAATAAGATGCTTTTACCCCTGAAGCTATACAGAAAGTCACTGAAACACTAATATCTAAATGCATAGTTTCACCTTCCACTAGCCCATAATCACATTACCGTTTAAAGCTCTGCCATATGTTTACAAAGATAGTACGTGAGCATCCGTGGAGAACTCATTAATTCTAAGCCAAGTATGCCATCAATGCTCTTCAGGGTCAGTATGAATTTTTTCATCATTTAAAAGGAAATGTATGCAATAAAAATTTCAGATATTTTGCATTAACACGACAGCACGCAGCCCCCTCTCTCTAACCCCATCATGCCTTCAGGACAGAGATACTCTCTCTCATCCATATATAGTGGCATACTCGGGAAGTTCCATTCCTAGTAGATTAACTGGGAGAGGGAGATAATGTGAGATATCACAGAACCGGAAAATAACATCCTTTTCATAGCATCGGTGCTTATTTCTTTAGGTAAACTACCGCAGCAATAAAGTCAGATCCGTCCAATCGTCGCCCTGAGTACGACGACAGCTGTTTCCAGGGAAGACGGCTATCAGCCGAGCTAATCAGAGACATCAGGGGAGAGCAGCCTTCATTTCTCTCCACGGCTCACGCGACCCTTGAATCACAGTGACTAACCTCATTGCCAAAATAATGTCATCCCCAAAAAGGCATTTGCCAGAACAGCTCCTCGGTGCCTGTGCAGAACATCTAATTTGTTACCGACAGCGAGACGCAAAGCGGAGCGCAGGGGGGCTGCAGGGAGGGGTTACGGGCTGGTTACAGGTTACGGCCCCGCAACCACACGGCTCCTCCGCTCCGAGTTAGCAGAACCGGCCCCGCGCGCCCCGCGGGACGGGACAGGCGGCGGCACCCGGTGGACCCCCTCCCCATCCCCAACCACCGCCACAACCACCACCAGCACCACCCCGACCCCTTCCCCGCGCCCGGGCTCACCGTGTGGGAGGCGTTGCTGGCCCTGAGCGGCGGCAATGCGAGGGGCGACGGCGGGCCGGTCCCAGCTCCTGCCCGGGAGACCCCGGCTCCGGCGCCCGGGGAAGACTGCAGCGGACGGCCGCCGTCCCCTGCCCTGCCTGCGGAGAGCAGAGGGATGAGCTCGGAGGGCGGCGGCGCTCCCTCCCCGCCCCGTCCCGCTTCGGGCAGAAGCCATCGGAAGCCGATGGCCGCCGCGGCCCCGCGCTCGCACCGACCGCCGGAACCCCCCCGCCGCCCCCCCCCGGGCCGCGGCATTGTTCCGGCCCCGCGGCGCCCGGCCCGCTCCTTACCGGCCGGGTAGGCAGCGCCGGCGGCGGCGCTCGCTGAGGGCTTCTTGGTTAACATGGCCGCTGGAGAGCAGGGAGAGGAAAATGCATGTCAGGGCGGCTCTCCTCCGCTTCTCCTCGGCCTCTCTGGGCGACGGCTGCCTCTCCTCGCCGATCAGCTACAGCCGGCGCCCGACGCGTCCTCCGCCGCATCCCCCCGGCCCCGGGCCGGCCGGACACAGCCTCCCTCGGCCCGCCGTCTCCTCCCGCCGCAGCCGCAGCAGCAGCAGCCGCGCCGCCGCCGCAGCCCCCGGCCCAAGCTCATCACCTCCCCCGCCCCCGCCCCGGTCGCCCCGGTCCCCTCGCGCGGAGGAGGGGGCAGCAGAAGGCGGCCGGACAGGGCCCTCCTCCTCGGGCGGCGGAACGAGAACAAACGGCGCACGGAGGGGCAGCGCCCGCCCCGCCGGCCGCCTCCCCTCGCTCCGCTCCTCCCCGCCGCCGCGCCTCCCCCCGCGTCCCCGTGCGCTCCCCGCGTCCGCCCGCACTTCGCCTCGGCCCGCTCCCCGCGGGCGCCGGGTGGCGACGCGTCCGGCCCCGCCGCAGCCCGGCAACCGCGCGACGGCCGCCCCACCGCGGGGGGAGGGGGTTGGTGGGAGAGGGGGCCGAGCCGTTGGTCACCCCCGGGGCCACAGCCATCTTGGGGTCACCGCGACTGCGGGAGGACAAAGGTGGCACCGCGGGCGGTGGGAGGGTCGTGCGAGGGGATCGAAACTTAAATATGGCGGTGCCTTGAGAGAGCTTCGGGCGTCGGGCCGGAGCGGCCCCGTGCCTCCAGCCACAGGGAGGGAGCGCGGCGGGGGCACTTACGGCCCCTGCTCTGCGCGCCGCGCAGCGTGCCTCGGGAGTACAATGCTTTGAATTCCTGGTTTGTCAGCTTGAACGTCACGAGAGCCAAAAATAGATAGCTGAACATTTGCTCAGCCCGGGACGGCGTCGAAATGAACTCTCCTGCCTACGCTCAACCCTTTTGGAAATCTGTACGGATCGCGTGTATTTTCTCTTCTGAAGCAGCCTCCCTTCATCCCCTGCCACAGGGAAAGGCAGAAAAATAAATCTCCCCTTCCCTTGTGCCTGAGGAAAAGAATTCCATCCCTGCAGCCAGAGAGGAAGACTTTGCCTTTTCCAGTGCCGCAGATAAATGTGTAAACAAAGACATTTCCTGCGCTGGTACAAAGAAATAAACACTTTCCCCAGCCCCTCCTGTCGCAGAGAGAAAACAATCCTACCTTTTCCCACCCACGCCCACCCAATCTTTTCCCTTCCCTGCAGTGGAAGACAATCTTTGTTTCCCACTACAACCCCCAGATGTACCCAGACACCACAAATTTCCCTTCACTGTCAGGTCTATAAATGCTCTTTTCTGGTATCTCTTGGTATTTTCCCGTTGTTTTCATTAACACACGTGTGCATCAGAAGTATCTAAATAACTTGCAGCATCTCTGTTCTTTGGGAGATGCCTTCAACATTCAGGGAATGGAGGAGGAAAAGGTACTTTTCTGGCTATCCTAAGGAGGGGAAGGTGAACAGCCTTGTCACGTTCCAGCTAGATAAGAAAAACTGAAGTTGATGTCAATTAATCTCTTCAGAGGGCTTGCAGGATTTCTTACTACGCCATCTTAAAGGATGTGTGTTCTCTGACTATGAAACCACAGACAGCTTCATGCATGTTCTGGGATTAGTTACACCTAAACATCAAGATAAGAGAAAGCCTGCAACCTGTTTCAAACCCCTTGCAGTCAGATACACCATTCACAATTTGCTTTACACGATTTGTTCGAGCAACCTCCATCTACTATGAAAAATATGCGAAAAATTGAGTTTGTCGTGTAATAAACAACCTCTTAATTAAGTCAGTGGGAACACATTGCATTGGTACCTGTCCAGCTACTCCCTTTCTAAAGCTGTGTGCATGGTAAGCTTTCAGCATCAAGTCTTTAAGCCTTTGGCCTGCCTAGTTGCCTCCCTCTTTTTCTCTCCCTTTTCCCATCTGCAGTCCATCCTGGCATCTGCTATCAAGGATTGTACTGCCTGATGGAGTCTGGAGGGAAACTCAGGAGGAGGGCAAAGCCCTCTTGATTCCCCCAAATGTAATACAAGAAGCTTCAATTAAAAAGCCTCTTTCATGCAGGATTTAGGTTTACAAAGAGGAAGAACATGCTAATTTAATTTTAAAATACCAAGGCTGCAAATACCAATGTCTTTAACAGCCTTCTGCAAAATCATAGACACAGACCTGGGGGGGGGGCCGGGGGGGAAGCCCACATACTCAAAGACAAAGCAAAGATTAATTTTTTTCATTCCAAGTTACGCTCAGGAATCTGAAGTATGTCTCGCTGAGTGGCCACAAAACTTTCTTCTTTTTGATACTGGCCAACTGAACGTATCAGCACTTTCCAGACCATTGCTACTTGTAGATGAGTTCAACAGACGTTAGTTCCCAGGGCAGAAACATTTATTAGACACCTGGCAGTAGAAAGCGTACAGTGCTGAGAAGTCGGGGGGCAAAGTGAATGAGGGTTTTCTTGATCCATTTTCCTGCCACCTCAGCTTTTATCACCCAGGAGTGTGAACTGATACCTAATGACAGAAAATTAGCCTTCCCTTTCTTGGAAATAAATGTACTGAGTATTGGTGAGTGTCGGACTGCGTGCAAGTGTCTTGTAAAGTAGTGTTGTCAGCACACTTGTTTTTAAGAGAAATAATTTTGAAACAGTTTTTTTCCAGACAGGCACCTAAGCAGCCCACAGATGGGAAGGTGCTACGTCAGCCAGACCCATGTTGTTCACCACAGTGGCCACCTAAAGAAGAGGGGGAAGGAGCTGGGCTGCAGGTGGGATCACAAAGCTGCACACTGCAAGGGAAAAGCAAGAAAGCATCTGTCCTGATGAGGCTTAAGATGGGCTGTTACAGGTATCGCCTTCCTGTGACAAGCTGTACAAAGCGTTCTAGAACAAAACTTAGCAACGCTCGGTAAAAATAAAGTGGTTAAATCACAGCCATTGAATGTGAGAATTAAAATTCAGTTAAAAAAAAAAAAAAGAAGAAGAAGAAAAGAACCAAAATAGTCTAGAACAAAACATCATATCTGTAAAACTTTATCTAACAGTATTCCTGCCCACATAGTACATTAAAATGCATTATTGAAGATAATACGCTAGTACAGTGAGAAGTACAGAGCATGCTGTGTTTCATGTGCTCTGCCTTGATTAAGGCTCTGCCTTGTGACTGAGAGATACTAATTCCAAGCAAACTGTGAAGGGTCAGCAAGGTCTGCTTTGCCAGAGTGCCTTGGGATACAGCTCATCTCTAATTGTCCTATTAGTGCGCTGTATCATAGAATCATAGAATCATAAAGGTCAGAAAAGGGCATCTAGTCCAGCTGTCAGCCCGTCAGCACCATGCCCACTAAACCATGGCCTTCAGTGCCACATCTACCTCCAAGTACAATGACTCCACCACTTCTCTGGGCAGCCTGTTCCAATGCCTTGCCACTTTTTCTGAGAATAAATTTTTCCTAATATCCAACCTGAATCCCCTAAGCATCACAGTGAATCTCCCCAACCCCCCTACCCCCAGGCCACGTCAATCTTTTTACCTCTCTGAAGTGGATGCTGGTTAGAGTTTAATTATATGGAGCTTTGGTATGTAGTGTCGGGGGGAGAGTTTGGCCAGTCAGTCACCTGGCATCTTCACTGCTGTGGTATTAGCAAATACTTCTGTGGTCAGCCACCAGGGAATTCCTGGCAGCCATGCGTATCCAAAGCTCAGATGATGACTTTGGGGGCTCCCACAGTGACGGATGCAGCAGGTGCTCAGCACCTTGGTATGCTCTGACTGTTCTCACCTGGCACATCTAGCTATTTTGGTTGTAGATAAATGACCGGCAGACTGAACAAATGCAAGGCTACTCAAAAATATGATGGGCATGGAGGAAGTGGGGAAAAAATATTCTGATGTACAACACAGGAAGTCTTGCCTCTTTTTTTTTTTTTTTCCACTTCCCTCATCCTCTCATTCTAGGCAGAATTTGCAGAAGAAGGAGAATCTATACTCTCAACTTCTTTTAAAACGTTTGAGAATCCAAGCCATTGAAATATATGTTATTTTCCCATTGTTTTTTTTTTTTTTTTGTGAAGTAGGCCTTGCATTCTGAGCTTGAAATATTAAAACACCTACGATATGTCTCACCATCAATTAAAGATGGGTCCAAGTGTGTTCTTTCAGCCAGTAATCCATATTTTGAAAGTGAACCCTTAAACCTAGTGAGTGGTTGCCTCAGAAGGGCCTGAACACAATCGGTACCAGGTCTCATTAATATGTTATGGGCACGAGCAGGGCTGAGTATACAACAATGTGGTTTTTCAGCAAATCAAGCTGAGCACAGTGTAGGCACTTGAGAACCAAAATACTGCAATCTCCTAATGCAAACAGTACAGATGGGAAGCACACAGGTAGGGGCTCAGCTAGCACTCAGACTTGCACTTCACTGCATGGTACACCAGTAAGCTTTGCAACTCCTCCCTCTCCCCTCTGCAGAAAAAAAAATCTCAGCACCACCTGGAATTTAAAATAAAATTGTATTTCAATAATAAAAAAATGGTTATTCAGAGCAAGAGTGCAGAGAATCACTGCCACAAGTCAAGCAGAGAATCACTGCTAGTAAATATTCATACTGACATGAGCATATATGAAGCTAAATCGTCTTGCTGGGTTCAGATTTGTGTTGGCCTTTATTTCAGTGAATGTTCTGTCATGGCTAAGCTTTATTCTGTGCTCAGAGATTTGCTCTTTCTGCTGTTGACAAACATGTAAGTCACTACATCTACTGCAACACTAAAACAAGAAATGGTGTTTTATTGGTCAGTGAAGATACTCAGATCTGCAAGCATATGATAATTTTTTATTCTTACATTAAAGCAGCTATTTTGCAAGAGATTATCTCACAATATATTTGTATTTCACTGCTGGTAAATTACACATTAAGGAAAATGTTTTCCCTTTTCCCCAGACCATGCCAAGGTTTCTAAATGTCTGTATTATTTATTTTCTATATCCTTTCTGGATTCTTTTAACATTAATATTCATTAGAACATTAGACTTATTCCTTTGTGTAAACTCCCAGCACACATAATGGGAGTTTATTTCTCGTTTTCTATTCTTGTATAGCCAAAGCACTCCTGATGGAGTCAGTGAAGTGGCATTAATACAAAACCAATCTCAGGGAAAAGCCTAATGGTGGCTGATTCTTTTTAGTCACTGACACACTCCTGTATGCACTCAGGAAAAAAGTAAGCCTTTGGAACAAGAAAGGAAGGAAATACATGTACTGTTGGCTCTTCCTGTGTGGACCCTTCCACCTCACTTGTGAAGCTCCTCCATTCCCTCAGCTATGCTAAGAAGGAAGATGTGAGAAGTGCAAAGATATCATTTGGAACTACTGGCTCTCACTCAAGTGTTGGTCTTTCCTGAAGAAATCCTATAAAATAACTGTCACTGCAAGATTACTATGCAGTTAATCATTAGGATTTCTACCAAACTATTTTGGAGAGAAACTCAAGGTTATTGAACCCTGTGTCATTATCTGATTTTGGTTTCCTTTTCTAACCACCTTGAAGATCAATACAGAAACTCAGTGTAATCCTTCACATTCTTATTGTGGGCTGTTTCAAATGCATCTGTTCACACACAGGCTTAGTCCTGACTGTTGAAACTCTGG